AGGAAAAAACAGTTTTCAAAACCTGGGGAGGGGAGTGTTTCTTCTTCTTTGCCTCTCCTTCTGAAAACGATGCTAAATAGTGAACTCTTCTCCTCTTCTACCGACACAAAACCCTAGAAACAAACCTTTTCTTTTAGTTCTCTCCTCACCACTGGGAGAAGGACATTTACGCACCCTTCCCTTGGGGGAAGGGGGCTCGAGCAACGCAGGGGTTAACTTTTCTGAAAACACAATTAACTTTTTCCAATCCTACGTGGGGAGGGGAGGGATATATTTATTTAATCACTGGAGGATGGGGTGGTCTCCATCCAAATGCTCCCTCCTCCCTGAAAGGCACAGACGCCTCTTTTGCAGATCTACGTAGGTGGAACAGGACGCCTTGTGTTGTGGGGGGGGGGGGGGGGGGGGGAGAGAGCGAGAGAAAGGAGAAGGAGAAGAAGGAGGGGGAAAAAAAAAGGTTGATAGGTTTGTGCGCGGGTCCCTCGCGCGGGCTGCGCTCCTCCTGGGTGCTATTTGACAATTCCTGCCTCTGCCATTGGTCAGTGTTGGATCAGATGGTTGTATTTCCTTCTGGCCCTCACTGGCACCTCGCCATCCCCCCTCAGCTAAAACCCAATCTCAGATATACTACTAATAGGCGCGGCGCTCGGACTATAAAACACAACAAATCATAAACCCGGCGGAGCAGCAGCGGCCGAGCGCGCCTCCCCTCCCAATGAGTTCCTATTTCGTGAACTCCACCTTCCCCGTCACTCTGGCCAGCGGGCAGGAGTCCTTCCTGGGCCAGCTACCGCTCTACTCGTCTGGCTATGCGGACCCGCTGAGGCACTACCCCGCGCCCTACGGGCCCGGGCCCGGCCAGGACAAGGGCTTTGCGGCTTCCTCCTACTACCCGCCCGCGGGCGGCGGCTACGGCCGAGCGGCGCCCTGCGACTACGGGCCGGCGCCAGCCTTCTACCGCGAGAAGGAGTCGGCCTGCGCGCTCTCGGGCGCCGAAGAGCCGCCCCGGTTCCACCCCGAGCCGCGGAAGTCCGACTGTGCGCAGGACAAGAGCGTGTTCGGCGAGGCCGAGGAGCAGAAGTGCTCCACCCCGGTCTACCCGTGGATGCAGCGGATGAATTCGTGCAACAGTGAGTGAGCCCTCCCGCGGCCGCCCCGACCCCCGCGGGCCCCCCCACCCGGGGACAGAAAGAGCGCCCCCCTCCACTCCCCGGGGTGCCGGATGGGCATCTCAGTTAGGAGCTAAGGGAAGACTGGGCGCCCGCCCCGAGGTGTCCCGCTCTGTCCTCTCGCCGTCAGGAGTTACAAAGTTTGCAAAGTCCCAGCTACACTGGGAGCCAGGGGGAGCGAGTGGGCTCTCCCGGAGCGCCGCGCCAGAGCCCGATTCCGGGGCAGGGGAGGGGGCAGGGGCCGCAGCCACTGGCGTGGCTTTCCACCCCCACCCCCCCACGCCCCCAGCCCCGGTCGGGTCCCCCACCCGAAGACGGTTCCATTAAGGACGGTGTGCGTCATGGGAAGGGGGGCGGCCTGACGCTGGCGAGGGAGAGTTGAGCCGTCCCGGACTGTGTTTCCCTGGGGGTTTGGGGCTGGGGAAAGAGGAGTCACCAGGAAAGGGGTGGTAGTCAGAGGAAGGAGGGAAGAAAGGGAGAGGCAGCTGGCCGAGGGGGAGAGAGGGGGAAGCAGGCGCCTGGGTCTCAGGTTGGATTATTTGTCGGCCTTAAGTCCCAAATTGATGTCCATTAGCGGGGCACGAAAGTGAGGAGCCGTTAATGCCGACTCTGGATCGATCCACGTCATTACGGATTAAGGGCTGGAATCTATCACGGGGTGGTGGGGGAGCCAGATAGATGGAAAGAAAAGATAAAGCCAGGAAGAGACACACCTGGCCAGTGCTTCCCCAGCCCCTCCCCCTAGGCTCAGGTGGGATTTTAAACTCTCCTCCCATCCCCCACCAAGAGTCTAGACCAGAGGCACAGGCCTGGGAGACCCTGAGGGAATCTGGAGGGGGCGCTGGAGGAGTGAGGATGCGGGGAGGCAGGGAACTGGAAGAGTGGAGGGCATCCCGGGACAGGCTAGAGTCCCTGTTTGAGGGTCGAGTGGGGGAGGGGTTCTGGCCCTGGTGACCCCAGGCCTCAGCATCTTCTCTCTGCATAACAGGTTCCTCCTTTGGGCCCAGTGGCCGGCGCGGCCGCCAGACCTACACGCGCTACCAGACTCTGGAGCTAGAGAAGGAGTTTCACTACAATCGCTACCTGACACGGCGGCGGCGCATCGAGATCGCGCACGCCCTGTGCCTGACCGAGAGGCAGATCAAGATCTGGTTCCAGAACCGGCGCATGAAGTGGAAAAAGGAGAGCAAACTGCTCAGCGCATCTCAGCTCAGTGCGGAGGAGGAGGAAGAGAAGCCAGCCGAGTGAAGGCGCTGGAAAGGGAGGGGGGACGCGAAGGGAGCGGCCTGTGGGGAGCCGAGGGCATCAGAGAGCCCTGAGAAGGCTCTGCGGGCGGGGAGCCCTGGGGGACCTGCTCTCTAGCACCCGACAGGCGGGGCCCAGCGCTCTCCTGGATGCCCCCGCCCGCAGAGCTCTCACTGGGTGCTGGGAGGCCTTGTCGCCTGAGCCCACCCAGCACCCAGGAGCGCCCCCTCCATCCCTGCAGACCCGCTTCAGCCCCATCATGCTCCCCTGTGAGAACTGAGGACCAGACTCACTTGATGTTTCCTGGAAGCAGAGCAAAATGCTCTTGTCCGTGTCGCATCTCATTTCGTCCATGTTCCCTGTGCACGGTTCAATGGTAGATTCGCAGCCCCCTCAGCGGGGGGCCTCGAAGACTCCCTGACCCCAGACCTCTGTCCCACCCCCTCCCTAAAGCCACTGGAAGGAGCACATACTACCTAGAAGAAGAGGAGCCTCAGAAGAAAACAAAGTTCTATTTTATTAATTTTCTATGTGTTGTGTTTGTAGTCTTGTCTTAGCTCTGGACGTGAAATACTTCGGTAATAATATTAATATTATTAATAATGATGATGATAATAATAATAATAAAGATGTAAAAACTCGCCGCTCAGTCACCTCTGCTCCTCCCCTGCCACTCCCCCACCCTGGAGGCCACCCTGGCGTCCCAGAGCCGGAAACTCCGCAGCAAAGGCAGGAGCCCTGGTCGGCCCCAGCGGGCCCGACACGACTCGGAAGTTACAGTTGAGATAAAGGCTGGGGCAGTCCCGCCGGGCCTCGGGCTCCCAACAGCCTCTTCTCGTGCAGACCTGGGGGACGGAGCAGGGCCGTTTCCCTCTCATTCTCTAAGCTTTTCCTCGTTTGTCTGTGGCAGGAGGGACACCGCCAAGGCCCGAGCCCGGACAGCCAGGCGGGTGTCGCCCCACAGCCGTGCCTTTCTGTCCTCCCGCTCGAGGCCCGCAGCCTTTGGCCTGCCCACATGGCTTGATCTCCGCCTGCCTTGGCCCTCGGCTCCTAGCCTCTGGCTCCGGAGACTCCATCGGGGCCATCGGGTGTCTCTCTGCCCGTGGCCAAAGGCTCCAGGCGCCCCTTCCCGCCTCAAGCAGGAGCTCATCGACAAGTAGGGGAATTCGAAGTGGCTGGCAGGCACGGGGCGGAGGGTACGACTTTCCCCGGCTCCTTGGAGACCTGAGGGCAGGAGGCCAGGTGGTGGGCGGTTTGGTCTTATCCCCTCAACCAAAAACCGACCCATTTTCTCCCCACCCCCACCCTCACCCAGGCGGCAAGCTGCAGACACTGTTTTCCTTTCTTCCTCCTCCCTCTCTCTCCCTTTTTTTATTTTTAAAGAAAATAGCCGCCCGGCAGAAGGAGCCCAGCTGCGGTAGTCTGTGGCCGCCCAGCCCGCTCAGCAAGGCGCCGCTGGTCCTTGGAACCCCTTTACAGGGAAGATGTGGGCCACCGGGCAAATCGTGAAACTACCCAGACGTCAGTAAGGGGCCTCGAGTGGGGCCTCCCTATGTAATAGCGGGTATCTGGGGACGAGGGGAAAGCATCTTGCCTTGATCCCCAGTTCTCAGAGCCCTGAACCCTAGCCACGGATTCGGTGGCCACCATTTACCCCCTGCTACTAGGCCGCTTCACCCCAGCCCTACACATCCTCTGGGGTCCCTATCCTGCTTTGCCATTCTCCAGGCCTGGGCTGAGGAAGAGGAAGCCAGGAAGAGGATGCCAAACTTCTAAGGGGCACAGAAGTGAAAGCTTCTCCATGGAAGCCTGGGCCAGCCCTGCCAGCAACGCCTGGTCGCTATGCGTGGGCCACTGCAAACCCTGCAAACCCCCGCAGGAAGCAGGCCAGGCCGAGCTCACGGGGAAATGCGTTGCAATAATTGTTTTTCATACACATCTTCCAGCCCTCCCCCGCACCATTTCCGCCCCTAGCTCGGAGACTTGCAAAGCCCAAGTGAGGGAAAAGCAACTCAATTTTTGATCATCTCATCCAGAGTGAAAATAATAATACTGACAATAACAACAACAACAATAATAATGACAGGGAGATGGGCACAGATAGTCTAACCCCACTCCGAAGAAAGTGGGTGAAGGCTCAAGTGGGTCCCTCCTCTTAAAGATTCAACTCTGCGGGTGAGCCCAGGCCGGGTTTCTTTCTCCTGGCGGCTGCCGGGAGCCAGCAGGGAGGCAGCCGTCTCCGCCATGGCAGTCTGCGGCCCGCGCTCCCGCCGATCGCCGGGAGGTGGCGCGCTCTGCTCAGAGGCCGCTGCCAACCTTCTCCCTGTTTCTCCCCCTTCCCCGTTTTTCCCCCTCTCTCCGAGGCTCGCATTGAATCGGCCCTAACGATTCTCGGATCGTCATTATTTGTAACCATAGAGCATGAATTACCTCTTGAGGTCATCAGCGAGAATTTACGACTGGTCAACAAAAGCACGTGATTCCCTAACGCCCCCCCATCCCCCTTCCACCCCCCCCATATTTGGCCGCATACATAGCAAAACGAAGTACAGTGCATCGCTATAATTCATTAATACATCATAAATCGTGAAGCACAGGGTTATAACGACCACGATCCACAAATCAAGCCCTCCAAAATCACCCAAATGAGCTCGTACTTTGTAAACTCCTTCTCGGGGCGTTATCCAAATGGCCCGGACTATCAGTTGCTAAATTATGGCAGTGGCAGCTCTCTGAGCGGCTCTTACAGGGATCCCGCTGCCATGCACACCGGCTCTTACGGCTACAATTACAATGGGATGGACCTCAGCGTCAACCGCTCCTCGGCCTCCTCCAGCCACTTTGGGGCGGTGGGCGAGAGCTCGCGCGCCTTCCCCGCGCCCGCCCAGGAGCCCCGCTTCAGGCAAGCGGCGTCGAGCTGCTCCCTGTCCTCGCCCGAGTCCCTGCCCTGCACCAACGGCGACAGCCACGGCGCCAAGCCCTCTGCTTCGTCCCCCTCCGACCAGGCGACCCCGGCCAGCTCCAGCGCCAATTTCACCGAAATAGACGAGGCCAGCGCGTCCTCGGAGCCTGAGGAAGCGGCGAGCCAGCTAAGCAGCCCGAGCCTAGCTCGGGCACAGCCAGAGTCCATGGCCACCTCCACAGCCGCGCCCGAGGGGCAGACTCCGCAGATATTCCCCTGGATGAGGAAGCTTCACATCAGCCATGGTAATTCTCGCTTTCGCTCGCCTTTTTTTTTTTTTTTTTTTTTTTTTTTGTCTCCTCGGCTTTCCTTCTCTGCGTTTGGGGAGGTGGGGGGGGGGAGGCGAGGAGAGCTTGGCTTCTCCTCAAATATAGATTTATTTTATTTTTTTTTTCCCAGAGTGGGAGAAGTCTCTAAGAGGGTCCTCACAGCTCGGGGGATAGAGCCAAAGAAGGTCTAGGTCTTTAGCTGGGGAGGAGTATTTTTAATCATTTGTCTCCAGCTTCCGCTAAGGTTTTATTCGACCAGCTGTACTAGCTATAGGATGAAGGATGGGGTTTTATGTAACGTGGGGAAGGGTCCTGCTTACCCACGAAATTTTGAGGCTGCTGCTAGCAAAGAAGGGGCGAGCAGTAAAACAAGCTTTCCAGGGCAAAAGTGCAGCCGCTCTCCTCCCTCCCGGGGCGAGCGGCCGCCTGAGCCCAGCGAAGGGTGAGGCACGGGGAGGGAGCAAGAGACAAAGCCGGGCGCATTCACTGCCGGCAGAAGTGGGGGCCGCAGAAGAGGGGGTGTAGGAGCGAGCTCGGATGCGGGCGTCTGGAATGGGGAGGATTGGAGCTGCGGTGAGCTGGGTGCCGGGGACGCCTGGGTCCTGCTCACGCCCCTCTCCCATCCAGTGCCCCCTCCCTTAACCGGAATAACGTTGCCTCGCCGCTCTACTCTGTCTGCTCCAGATATGACGGGGCCGGACGGGAAAAGGGCCCGGACCGCGTACACCCGCTACCAGACCCTAGAGCTGGAGAAGGAGTTCCACTTCAATCGCTACCTGACGCGGCGGCGGCGCATCGAGATCGCCCACGCGCTCTGCCTGTCCGAGCGCCAGATCAAGATCTGGTTCCAGAACCGGCGCATGAAGTGGAAGAAAGACAACAAACTGAAAAGTATGAGCCTGGCTACAGCCGGCAGCGCCTTCCAGCCCTGAGCCCGCCTGGAGGAGCCCTGGGTGGCCCAAGAGCCCTTGCCGCCTCCTAGCCCGGGCCCCTCCGAGCCTCCCTGCGCTGCCACTGCCCGCTGGGGACCGGTTCCCACGAGCCTGCCTCGCCCCGGCCTTGTGTTACGATTTTTCGTTTGGTCTTAGGTCTTCCTGTGGCTCCCTCTCTCCTGGACTGGTTAATCTTGTTATTATTGTTAATAATAATGATAATTATTATTTTCCCTCCCTGCTCCCCACATCCCTCCACTCACCCCAAATCCGCCAGTGTTTCTGAATGTTCGTGTCTGTGGTTGCACTCCTTCCCCCAGGAAAGAAAGAAACTCGCATGTTTAATGTGAACTTTCCCCTCCCCATCTGTGTTCTTCTAACTTATTTATAAAAGGATGGTCGCTGTATTTTGAGTTTCAGCTGGAAACTTCTCTAAGGCGCAGCCCTGGAGGTGGGGTAGTGCCACATCCCGGGGGCCCAGCTGAGCCGGCCTTGGAGATGGAGTCCAAGACTGTCTCTTTCCACCCTCCTCCTCCTCCCTCCCCACGCACCAGGCCCAAGTCTCCCAGTGACTTGGTCCAAGGGTGGAAAGGGGGCCAGGAGGACCCAAGGGGTGATCTTGAGAAGAGGGAAGGTAAACTGTGAGAGTTAGGTTCCTGCCGCCTGGGTAGGCCCCACAAGGCCTGGCCTGGGAGTGGACGGAAACAAAAATAATGCTCAGTGTAAAATGTCTTGTGTACTTCTCTGTGAATCCCTGGGTCTGGAGTAGAGGGCCCAAAGCTTGTAAATATGGGGATAGTCTGGGTCAGACCCATCCCCTCCGCCCCCCCCCCATTTCGCTTCGGAGACCATTTGTAGTGAGCGAGGGGATGCTGTGCTATGTGTGAAATCTGTCTTTGCCTTTGCCGGGCCTGTCTTCAGTGATCCGCTTTTGGTATTTGTTTGTAGCTTTCCTTGAAGTCAAATAAATGTTTCCCCTATTCCACCGCCCTTCCACTTGTCTTTTCTCTGGGGGCCTGTCTCTCCCATCACTGGGCACACCCTAGACCACTCTTGACAGATCTGGGGTGTAGGGAAGGGAAAGCAGGCTGTTCCCCAGCAGCCCCTCTCAGCCACCTACATTCCTCGCTTGGGGAGCCCGTGCTTGGCCAGGGGATTGGCTTTCATGTGTGGCGGACTTGAGAGGCCCAGAAATCCCACGTGGGGCTGGGGCAAAGGAAAGGGTGAGCTGGACTCCACCCTGGCCTTCCACCAGCCAGCCAGAAAAGCCTCTGGAAACCTCTACAGGGAAAGTAAGTGGGCCTAAGTCCTGAGCAGGAGGTTCCTGGCCTTTTGGGAGTGGTACAGGCCTGCCCAGCCCCCCTGCGCCCCAGCCCCAATCCCAAATCAGCCCTGCCACCCACTAAGACAAAAAAAGAAAGAAAAGAAAAGAAAAGAAAAGAAGAAGAAGAAGAAGAAGAAGAAGAAGAAGAAGAAGAAGAAGAAGAAGAAGAAGAAGAAGAAGAAATCAGCTCAATTTCAAAGGTTTCCTCTCAACCTCAGTTTTCTCTGTACTTATCAAGGACTCCCTCTCTCCAGGGGCCCAACTGACCTTCCCTCTTGGTAAGGAGTTGGGGTCCCTCCTGGAAGACCCCTGGTTCCCCTGCCAGCCCGGAGAGGCCCAGGGTTAGGGCCCAGTCCTCCTCCATCCAAGTCCGCCTTCACCCTGAGTGCAAGAGTCAAGCCTGGACACTTACCCGGTCAATCCCTTCCAGCTTGGCCCAACTTCTTACAGGACTTGGGGGGAGGGGGAGCTGGTGAGGAGGCAGCCAAGGGTCGTAGAGGCTCTACTGGGCCCTCCTTCCCCCTCACCCCTTGACTTTGTCCCCCTTTGTCCATAGCAAACTATCCCAAAAGTCGCTATGACATTTAGATGTCAAATGGATAGGGGTTTTATCTCGAAGTTAGATCGTAAAAATCGCCGAGAAGTCAGACAGATACCCCTCACTGGCTCGAGAAAGTCACGTGAGGTCCATAAAGTTAGTTTTATGGTTTTGGGGAGTTGACACCGCGCGGTATATTTCACATTCTCCAGAATGTTAAGTGACACTTTAACTGCTCGCCGTGGTGGGGAAGGGGGCAGAGGTAGGTGAGCGCTCTCCCAGCCCAGAAGGCAGTGGCGGCACTCCCGCGGTAAGTGGCTTCCAGCTTTCGCTTTCTCCCCCTGCAATTTTGGGGCTTGGAACCCGGGGCAGGAAATCTCGCCTCTGGGCAGGGCTGTAGGAGAGCAAGTGGGGGACATTTAGTCTGTTTTTTGCACCAAGTTCTGACTGGCTGGGCATCTGAAGTGGGGGCTCTCACTGCTGTAAGGCCTCAGCGGCTGGGGTGCCTGGTTTTTATTCACAGGCGTGTCTGAGTCTTTGTGGGGGAAAAGGGCTCGTGTGGGTTCCTTCCGTGTCTTCGGAAATTTAGGGGGCAAGAGGGAAGGGTGTGTAATCTTGAAAAGAGGGCCCCTTGTGGGGGGCCACTTCACTGCTGGGTGGCTTCAGACGGACATCTCCTCCCACCCCCAGGAAAGAAACTTTACGACGTTCATTTGTCAGGGGTGTATGGGGGCGCGCCGCTGGGCACTTTTATTTGGATACATCTGAGCTGAGAAAAAGCACCAGGAAGGCTAACGCGGCTGCTGTGGGCTGCCTTGCCCTGGGGCTCTCTCAGGCTTTCGGATTTTTGAACACTGTGAAAGGGGGTACCTCCCATTTCTCCAAGGCCTCATGGGGGTTACCCAGGATGGGGTGTGGGGCACTTTCGCACCCAGCTTCAGCCTGTTAATTCCAAGCCAGCCCTTCTGCTTGGCTCTGAGGCGGGTCAGAGGGGCACAATCCCCTCAAATTCCAGACCTAATTCCTGGCCAGGAGTGGGGGGAAGGGGAGAGCTTCTTCCCTTGCCTGGAGGAGTTTAGATATTTCAGCAGATCCCTGGCAAGCCCCCCCCCCCCGCATAAATAAAACTTGCTCAAGAATACAGACCCCAACAGCCCTGGAGAGGGGGAAGAAAGGGGGGACTCAGGAGCAGGAGGGAAAAATCAGAGAGGTTCTCTCTATCCTCTCCTTTCCCTCCCTCTTCTCTCCCTACCAGACCCTTAAAAGCCCCTTTGTTTTGTGGCACCACAGACCAGAGGGATTTCATTATTTGACCCCCAGGGGGCCTGTTATTTTCTAAGGGTAAATCACCCTCTTCTAAACTAGAGGCCTCCTCTCCACCAGACTGACCCCCGATTTTAAGACCCATGGGGAATACCACCCTGTTCCTTCTGTCTTTGCCAGCCCTCCATCTCTCGATTCGCTTACCAGCTCCTGGGAATAGTCCCTAGAATTGGATATGTGGCACCTTGAGGAGCTTCTGATCTTTGGGACAGGGGAGGGCCATGAGATTGCCTGATTTCCCACTGAAGGACACGGGTACTCTGTCTCTTTCTTCTCTTCCCCGTAGCCATTCTCTGTTCCCTCAGGCCTGATTTACAGGAGAACCTTGACGGGTTTGAGAGCAAAGAGGACAGAGAGCTTGGGGTCCCCACCCTGATTTAAAGACTAATTTACCCAAGAATGATGAGGCATTTGTATTCCTTGGCAAGGAGACTCTGGTCAGCTCCCAGAGGGTCCCCAGCATCATTTTAAAGATACCGATATACTGTGGAGGCACAGCTTCCACAGGCTTGGACTCTGGACAAGGCAGATGCGTTGCGCAGGGTACAGAGGAAGGGTGCAGCAGGGGCAGAATCTGACCTGGGGCCCCCTGGGAGCCCCCATTCCCGTGTGCCCTGGACTCCTTCCAACACCCTTTTGCAGAAACCCCAGACCACCAGGCCTGCCCCTGAAGTTTTTTTTGTTTTCTTTGTTGTTTTTTTTTTTTGCCCCCTTCTATGTCAGCTCTGCAAACTCTGATAAAGAATGTGTGGGGCTGGCGGCCCCGGGACATCTGCTGGTCATATCTAGACAGATTTTCCGGAATGGTGAAGAACGGGTCCCAGGCGGGGTGGGGGGGGGGTTGCCCATTTCCGCCCCCGGAAGTCAGAACCCTTGAAGGGTCTCCTCCTCCTCTAAGCGGTTCCCGGAGAAGACTCCCTAGCTGGTTTTCCTCTTCCCTGCTTCAGGTTCTCTGGGCAATGTTCTCCCTTGAAACCCAACAAGGAGGCGTGGGGCAGGGAGAGAGGAGGAGAGCTGAGAAGGGGGGGTTTCTGGTGCAAAGGAACTCTTCCTTGGCCACAGACCTGTTCCCTCCCTTCCTGGCTTCCCCAAGACCTTCTCTGGGAAAGCTGCTCCTCAATCTGGAGGACTCTTTTCTCCATCCTCACCCACCTGATCCCCCTCCCCAGCTCGGTCCAGGCCTCAACCTTGTGAGCCCCAGGCTAACACCCTTTGGCCCAGATCCCACCACCCAGCTGCAGAGCCACACTGCACCCTCCACCTGGGCAGGGTTGAGGAGGCACCCAGGGATTCAGGCTGTAGTTGGCTTTGCCCCTCCAAGGCCTGCCTGACCACCTCTCAGCAGACAATTTGATTTTGGATTTTTTGTTTGATTTGGTTGTTTTGTTTTGTTTTGTTTTGTTTCTCTGTGCGAGGAGTGGGAGGAAGTATAAAGAAGTGTAAACAGGAAAGCCAGCCGGCCCTGGAGTTCCGAGCGCCCATATTTCATCGGCTTCCTCTCCATAACTGCAGCAGGGACACTTAACCCTTCCCTGGCTGTGAGAACGTGTTCACTGGGGGTGGGGGCAAGATCCGTGTGGAAGCTCCTCTCCTGGCCTGGTTCCTTTATCCCTAGGGTCTGGATGCTGGAGCAGAAGCCAAGGATTTGGAACAAGAAAGAAGGCAGCCCACTTAGAACAATCTCCCAAACTCAGTCCCTTCCGGGGTAGAGAGGAAGAGGCTTCCCTGCATGAGCTTTTCAGCTTGGGGAACCAATGGATCGTCCAAGGAGGACAGAGCTGGGAAGCACCCCTCCCATCCTTTAGGGCCACTCTCTCCATTTTCGGAGTTTCTAGAAGTAATCAGATTTCAAGGCTGGGATCTGCCCACAGC